ATCTGTCAACAATAGTCAGTTCACATCATCATTAATTTCATACAAAAACATACTTTTTCTTTTACATAAGTTCCTAATCATGTCTAGTTTTGTGCCAGAAAAAAAAGGATTTGCGGAAAGCTCTACTTTTCTGCTTCAATTTGAAGAAATCAGCCGCTTTTTCTTCTTACCTAAGAATCATGATACTTTTTATACTCAAAAAACTACAAAGCATACTCTGAAACTCATTTTTGAAGATTTAATTTTTGCCTGAGATCAGTTACCCAATGTCCCTATTAAGCTATTCTACTCTTTATGATACCTTTACGGAGAAAACTAAATTTTTATGACAATATAAAAATTACAATTTCGATTGTAATTTGCCGTAGAAATCGTAGAATTTATTAGGTAACTTGTAATAATTTCAATTTTGACTTTTTTAATATTTCGTGTTTCTTAATTGTCACAATTTAATTTGTAATATCAACTAAAATACCTACTAAATTTATTTCTGCTGGGATTTTACGTTTACAAATTCGGGTCCAAATTGTAATTTTTATTATTTTCGCTTACAAAGCAACGGTATAGTGGGATAAATTGTAANTTTCATTTAGGAAGCAATGGGCTAGTGGGATAAATTGTAAATATCGCTTTAATATTCAGGTAGTTTTTCCTGTTTCATTTTCTCCGTGCTGATAAGGCGAAATAGAGAAGATATAGTCTAAACAAACAAATGACAAAAGAATTAATACTTTTTCTTCATTCAAGTAGTGGTCAATTGAAACATGCACATTCGACACATTGTACTTCCGCTTTTAACACATAATAATCCTTATACTCCTTTTTAAAAGCAATTCATATGGAAAACAAGTTATTAATGTTGAAGCATTTCGTAGTATTTCGATTGTAATAAAAAATTATATTAATACGACTATGCTAGTATACGACAGGGATAGGATAGTAAGGTTAACTACCCTAAAGTGTAAGCATTTTATCGATTTTCACGAAGGAAATGCGCTATGTACAGTGAATAGAATTGTAGTGTACTGATAAGTGGGACATAGCAATTTTACTCTAATTCAAATTCCAGTCCTCTCCTGGCACAATATTCAAAATTAGTGTATATATGGCATTAATATATAGTGTATATGTATATACGTATATGTAAGGGTGCATTAATGCGAATGTAGTTTAGTAGAAGACGAGCAAATTTTCGGCGTATGAATGCGATCGTCTAGAAAGGCGAAAGTTTCAAGATATTAAAGGTCCAAGAAGTGGTTTATGGTCGCCACGTTTACTGCATTATTACTAAAGTTTCGGTGATTCCGCGAGATTATGTCAGAAACAAACAGAAACTTTCCATCAAGTGGACTTGGAAATGTGCTCGATGCGCTCTCATATTGTTCCCTTTTAAATTAAGTTACGATTGGTGCTTAACGACGGACCGCGGTTTCAGAACGGAATTACCCGTTGGATTTCTTGTAAACAGCTAACTTACTTTCACTCTTTTAGATCCAATTGGATATCCGGCCGGCAAAAATCAACGCGATCGGTGGGGCGCGGCGTTCAGCACACGGTGTTGTGTATCGGTATCAAGAAATTCAGATAACTCAGGATGAAATAAGCAAAAATTCGAAAAAGATTGTTAAAAGTTTATGTATGTGGAGCACAGTTATGGTACGGGAGCGAAATGTGGGCGACGGAGGGCAAAAAAGAAAAGATTCGTTCGAAATGTGGTGTTATAGGCGAGTGATGAGGATACAGTGAATAAAGAAGGTCGGAAATGAAGAGGTATTAGAAAGAGTAGGAGAATAGATGGCGCTATGGAAATCAATAAGAAATAGACGAGTTAGTTTGGTAGGACACCTTTTCAGGCATGAAAGCTAGTTAGAGACATATTAGAGGCAGAAACAGGAGTTAGGAAGCGTAGAGATAGACCTACATTACAGACAATTTCAATTTGTTAGAATTGTGACCTTGAAGAAATCTGCGCGAAGATAGAAAGAATACGCACTAAGCGTGAGCAAGACAGAAATAGTTGGAACAACCTTGAACGAGCAGAGCTTTCAATGGGCGGTCTTAGGAGATCGGCTAGAACTGTACAGTACTAGACGAAAATATTTAGCAATTTTTTAAAAGAAAAATGTATATAAATTGACAATAGAAAACAAAGCAAAAGTTTTATAGGTGTGTAGAGCGTTAAGTTAATCACTTGTTATTATTTTTTTAAATAAAACATATTCTTAAATTTTAACGAGGCAGTTTAAATAATTTTGCGAATTGTACTGTACACTTTTGTCTAATTCTCGCTCGATGATCGGTGTAGAAATGAGCTCCGCAGACAAATATGATTGAATTTGGAAATATGCTACAGCGCATCCTAATAAAGAGAAGGGGCATATCTCCAACTTCTTGAAACGAACAGTAGATTACTATTCACAAATAGTTAGGGATGTGGGTTGTTCTAGTTTTAGGAAGATGTGAAAATTACCTTAGGATAAGAAAGAGCGGAGGTATACGTATCCAACCGTTCTTAGAACTGACGACTTTATGATGATGATCGGAGAATTGAAATCACAAAATTACTCAACTTAGGCGTACCATCTGGAGTATAGAAATATTATTTATATATTTTATATTGATACTGTCCTGATTCGGGATGGTGTGTTTGATCCTGATCCCTATAGCGATCGCCACTACCACCGTTACGGGCATCATCACCGCTACCGCCACCGTTACCGCTACCACCGCGATCGCGTTAGTTTGTACCGTCCCTTAATCTATTTATCAAATATGTGTATTCGAAGAAGACTGTACCATTCACTAGCAAAACGCACCTTTTGCTGCCATTCAGATCGCGGTGTGATCTAGCCATTTTGCTGCATCTTAGTGAAAGCCTGATTGTATCACAGCCCATAATTATGCGTGAACTGAATATTTTGGAGATACGTATTTTAATATTCGCATGAAGGAATGATTACACATAAGGGTAATTTTTGAAAATGTTGCCTTTTATATTTAATTAAAAGATTACCTTTTTTAAATCAAATAAAAAGCATTAACTTAATGCAAAGACGACAGAACTAAAATACGAAATGAATCATTATTTTTGTAGGGGATTAAAATCGACTTAATAATAATCCTTTTTATCGTTGGAATTTTATCGAAAAGTCTCGTCATTCCTTCTACACAAATGCGGCGGTTTCTGTCGCCACTGTCTCCATCATTCTCCCTCCGCGACGTCCGATTATGAGTTTTTCAACCCTCGTTTCGTGCGTTTAGTTTCGCGGATATCGCGATCGGCGGGAACATAAATAACAAGGGGATGGCTAGCTTAGAAAACAGTCGTTTTCGTTGCGGTTATATGCTACGAGCGTGCAAATAAGTACGAAGTTGTTTTTGACTAACGGAACACCGCAATGTGTCTCAATGGCATCGTACTTTTTTATGTGTAACGTGTTACCAATCAGTATGCAAGAGCATCATCTTATGTCTTTTTAAAGGACCTGATTGGTTAATTAGATCTAAAATCTGTTTTAAATCATTTATTATGATTTATAATTCTCTCTCGTATCCCGCTTTTGCTGAACCGCGTGATGGTGGTTGATAAATTACTTAGGAAAATTATGTCCTAATTAGAGTTGTTTAAAGTTTCAATGAATTTGCGCATAAACAACGTATGCACTCAATAATAAATTAGCACATCACCGCCGGGCGTTTCCCTGTTAATTATGAGATCCATTTGTATCCGTATACCCACTGGAAAAATATGGTTGACGATCTAAACGGTACAAAAATTAATTGCTTGATTTTATAATAATAAAAAAAAGAAATAGTCTGTCGTTTTTCGCAGTATTTCATTCATTCATTACACGTAAATAATGGATTTGAATACTCCCGCATGTAGAAAATACCGGACTTGATAACAGACCCAATTCTGTACCAATAGTGGGAAGCCAATACTGGTTCAAAGTTTCGGCCAATCTTCAAATACCAAGGCTATTAAGTATATTATCGCTTCGACACGTTTGGCTCAATACTGGGGCAGTCAGGCGTTGACTTGTCAATACTGGTTCAAAGTTCGAGTAATATCCAAATGTCAAGGCTTGATGTTTCGCCAAGTTTGGTCCAATACTGGACAGTCAAGTATTGGATTGTCAATGCTCGATCAAAGTTCCGTCATGTTTCGAGTGTCAATGTTAGGTATCTAAACGTTTCGTCAAGCTATATCTAATACTGGGTAACGAAGTATTGGCCAAGATAGAAAGCCACCCAGTAGCCCAATATTGGATCAATTTTGTTCGTCAAGTTTTGACATAATATTTGATCCCCATTCTTGAATTAACATTGTTCACTAAGTCTTGATACAATTTTAGCTGCTCAATCGTAGGTTAGTATTGTTCACCAATTCTTGACAGAATTGGCTGCCAAGTTTTGGGTTAATATTGTTCACCAAATCTTGACACACTATTGGCTACCCAGTTTTGGATGAATATTATTCAGCAAGTTTTGACACAGTATTGGCTACCCAGTTTTGGGCTAATATTGTTCACCAAACCTTGACCCAATATTGACTACCCAGTTTTGGATTAATATTGTTCACCAAGTCTTAACACAAAATTGCCTACCCAGTTTTGGATGAATATTATTCACTAAGTCTTGACACAGTATTGGCTCCCAGTTTTGGGTTAATATTGTTCACCAAGCCTTGATCCAATATTGGCTGCTCAACCTTGGGTTAGTGCTGCCCAGTCATGGATCAAACTTGTCCACTAGGCTTGGGATAAAGGGACAAATCAGGCATTTACCGTATTTGGTTCAACATTGGTTGTCAATCTCAGACCAGAATTGAACGATCTTGGGTCAAGCTTGGTCTTGTAATTTCCTACATAAGTTACTACTATTACCACTTACCTGTTATGTGATTGTAATAATCAAATGGGGAAGTAACTAAAAAACAAAAAAAAACAAAATCTCTTTAAAGAATATAGTCATAAAATAAAAAAAGAAGGTTTCCGCAATATATAATCGTTTATTAGAGATGATTTGCACAATTTGTACATTCACATTTAAGTTAATATTTAGTTTACATGTACATAATTACTAAAAATGAATTGTACATATTATGGCAGACTTAAATTTTACAACTATACAGAAATTTATCAGCATTGCCCCCAGGAAAAACGTTCCATTCGAAAATAGAGCAACAGTTAATCCGAGTAACATCATTTTTAATCTCTTAATATTTTCTTTAATTTACAATAATTATCAAACAACAAACAAGGCTATAAAGAACGAGACATTGACCACGTTGAAACGATTTGTCATGGGGTTTTTTCAGGGAACTGTAGATACAGTTATCGCAAAAAGGAATGTAAAAGTAGTGGCATTTAAATATATATATATATATATATAAATGTTGTAGCAAATTGCTCAGTTACACTTATTGTTAGGTAAAAATTAAGTTGATGAAAGTTACTGTTATTTTTTTTGCATCACTTTTGATTGATTTTTACTACAATTTTCAAACAACCTCAATTGATTTCTAGTCATTATTACAACGAATAAAGTGTTCTGTTTATAGATATATACATAAGTACCTTGTATGGATTTGATTGGTTTTCAATTTGCGAATTTTATAAAGTAGTGTTAATAAATATTAAATACATATAAGTGAAAGATTATTGTCAAAATGTATAAACGATGATTATTAAGCAATCTCACACCAAGAAGCACCAAATTACTGCCTAACTTTGATCTCTCCTCTTTCTATTATTATTATAAACACAAATTTCTTTAATTGAATCTATTGATTGCGTGCAGTTTTACAGCTTAATAATCACTCTGTATACAAATCTTTTTTAGAAAGAAAATGCTAAATACTAAATATATTTATGATAAGAGTGTAGGCACTCTTTATGACTAGGTTTTCTCATTTTATGCCGAATTTTTATATTTCTAATTGACCTGGTGACTTTAATTGACTTTCTCTCCAACAGAAATTATTAACGAAATAAAGTTTCATGCTGAAAGTTTAAGATAAAGATTAAAATTGGAATTAGATGTAATCGTTAAATTGTAAATTTTTATGACGGTGCGACTTTTATGATCTTTTATTTAACAAGCAAATACAGCAGTAGTATATTAACGGTATTCTAATATCACATTACAACCTTATATAAACTAGACGTGAAAATTTAAACAACATATATTAATTATTTATTATTCATATATAGCTATTTAGATTATTTGGACAAAGTACACTGTAGGCAAACAGCCCCATTTTTTTATTATGTATATCGCATGTTCAGGGTGTTCAGAGCACCATAAACACAACAAATTTCAACTGCAATGATTCATTCACAATCAGTAGAAAAACAGACATGTTCTGTTTTAAAATGCGTTTACACTCAAATAAATTTCAACAGTTTGATTTATACAACAATTTTTACCCTTTTTTTATAACTTATCCTCTAATATATTTAAATTTATACATACGTCTCTGATTGCATCCACAGTAATAATTAACGAACCATATTTTGCTAATGTCGTATCTAAACTCTTAAAACAGATACCCCGATAACAAACTCTACTCGAACAGTTTCGAATTCTACTTTATTTGGCACTCTGTTTACGCACGCCACTGCACCGCGACGTGTTCGCTTCTGATATAAAATTACAATAAGAACCTACTTGATTCGCCCTATCTACGACTTTTCTGTAACAGTCCATTTTTCAGCGTCTTTGGTGGTTGGTGAACAACAGGCACTTTTGTCTTTAAATCTACTCTTGTTTAGGTCAAAAGCGTGTTGTTGTTACAGTACGGGGACTCATTATTGATGTGCCCTTTGTTAAACCTGGGCCGGAGCAAGGTACCATCTGTAAAAAAATGTATTAGATTGAGCATTAAATATTAATTGATCTGAAACCAAATTGGTCGAATATATAAGAATCGTAAGCGACTTAATCAACGATAGAAAATACCTGAGTAACTTAATGACATCAATGATATTACAAACATTAGAAAAGAGGGTAAATGTCTAGATGATGGCCCCCACCCCCAAAGTGGGTGAGGGTGGGTAGGATCGAAAGAGGAGGTCCCCACCACTGTACCATAAAAAGTTCATGGCGGTCTCACCCCCATAAAAAGTTATGGATGTTAGATGGGGGTGGGGGTAGGGGGATCGAAAAACGTTAGGAGGGATCGAAAGAGGATGGTCACCTGAGTAAAACCCCATAAAAAAATTGCGGCGGTCTCACCCCCATAAAAACTTATGGGGGTTGAAAGTTGATTATTTTGACAATTTTCATATATTATAATTCAAATAAAATTCAATAAAAAAACTATTTTCAAGCGGGTGGAGGTGGGAGATCGAAGGAGGGTGGTCACTTGAACAAAACCCGATAACCTAACCTAACCTAACGTAACCTAACCTAACCTACCCTATTGATAAAGACATTTAAATAATGTTTTATATAACTTTCTCAATATTTCTATGTATTTTTCACTAGTTTTACCTTTGAATATTGTTCAAGAACGACTATATAAATATTTACATGCCTAGAAATGTATAAAAATTGGCATATTTATTAACTTTGAACCCCCATAACTTTTTATGGGGGTGAGACAGCCACGAACTTTTTATAGTACAGTGGTGGGGGAGACCTCCTCTTTCGATTCTCCCCATCCCCACCCCCTTTACCGAAAAGAGTTTTATACCATCAGCATAAGTTCGAGTAAATTCGAGTTTACTAAGAAGATCTAGTTAAACACAATAAATAACATAGGCCCTAAGTGGGAACCTTTCTTCTCCGAGCCAGCACTGCTGGTGGACGGGCACTCTACATACCCTCTTCAGCCTCCTTTCAGAAATTGTGGGAATGGGTGGGTGGTGGTTCGGGTGAGAAAGATGAGACGGACGAAATGAAGACAGAAGAGAATGAATGATTATCTGTGGAATATTACTGCCTCAGCATTTGCCTAAGTGATCCAAGGAAACCACGGAAAAACTTGGACCAAGGCAGAAGGACCCGGACCCGGAATCGAACCGGCGTCCTCCCGAATGCTAAGCAATGGTCTAAACCTCTAGGCCATGCCGGTTGGTAAGTGAGATGTCAACCAAATTAACTTATTAGACTTTATGCCCAAGCTTATTACTTTAGAAAGAAGTAAACACTTTTGAAAACTGTAATAATTCGCACCATAATCCGTAACTAAAGCATTAAATAATTTGCAAAATATACCTACCGAAATAGGACGATAACTAAGATATTTTACACGTAATCCTTGTTAGTAATATTAAGGAAAGATTTTGTCCAGAATTTTGTTATAAAACAACTCCATGTAATTAATAGAATATCAGATACAGATACAGAAACAGAAATCGTCTCCGGTCGTATTTTTTCCGAATAAAACCGCTTAGTACTAGTTGTAATAAAGCATTTTTAAAAGGAATTGTGGTATAAAATCAAATAACTTTAAAATCCCTTTGGGAAGCTACGAAATTTCATGATATGAACGAAATCCATTTTCCGATTAAAATATCAGTTCAGCCGTCGAGCAAAATCCGATGCCTGCAGACATGGGTGCGTGGTTGAGATGCTTCGCGGTTAGAAGCAATCAATCGGTTTGTGTAAGGGTGAAGGACTGCCATTAGATGGCGGAATAATGCGAAGGGTTTGAAAACGAAGGGTTCAACCCAAACGAATGTGTTATTCATAGCAGAACGTAGTACATTAAGTGAATTGTCTTCCAATTACTCGTACCTGATTTTATCAATTCGGACTAAATTCAGAGAGTAAATAGTATATATAGGTATGTATAGTAAGGGATAGAATATTCTCCGACAAATATCATACAATCAGTGGCTGTTCATGAATACATATATGAAAAATTACAATGGAGCAGGAAATAAGATCAGAAATTTTGTTAATAAATATTATCTGCTTATCTGAATATTGGGGGTTCGGACACGAAAAAGCCATCATTTTATTTTATTCAATCCACATCAAACAGCACTTTATAGGTTATTTAATGGCTGGGAACAGCTAAATTTAATTAATAGCTATTAGGTTCAGAAATTAAACAGTTTTGCTTTTTTCTTCTCAGAACATAACTAATATGTCATCATTGCAAACAGTTTTGAAATTTAATATTTTATAAATCGAGTTTCAGTAAAATAAAAAGTGGTAAGTGGAACATCTTATTCTTTTTTAAAAGTTGTTTGAAGATTTTCTATGCACACTCAAAATTATAGGTTTAACTGACAGTGTATTAGGGATGTATTTAAGGTGATAAAATAAATATCGAAATTTCGTTAATACTTCAAGAAAAAATATTGCGTAATAACGCTAAAAATGATGAAATACCTAAATACTTTGTAAACAATTGAAATCATGAATTCATAGCGTTTTGCGTAGATTCGCGGTTTTTTAACATTATTCGGTTTATATACATCAGAGGGAGGTATATTTGGGCTGAAATTGTAGCGTTTGCTGACACGTCACTGTGGAAAATGTGGTAGATTTTTTATTAAAAAATATGTATATACTTTCGAGAAAACCACTGAAATGTAAAAGCAGATAGGTAAACAGGTAGTGTGGCTACGAATAATAAATCTTCTGCAAATGTTGAGGTCTCTATTTCGATTGGAGTACGTAAGTTGATAGGAATTGTAGTAGCTCTTTTAGTATATTACAATACTACCCTTTGGAACGGATTATTCATAGATTTACAGTTTATTTTGTCGTCCAAGGCTAAAAAGAATACGACACCCTTAGGGATACCCTTAGAGATTTCGAACAGAATTATTAAAACTGTTGAGAAGTTCGGCTGCATTGCAACATTTAAAGCTAACTTCAAGGGGGCTCTAGTAAAGTATACTTTTACTCCTTAACGGTAAACTATAAAAGGAGTTAGTTGACTGATCTACGATAAAGCTACGCGGCTCCTTTCGAGATGCGGGATCCTAAAATTTATAAAATTCGTGTCTTTGCTTTAGCTTTTAAATTCGCGCCTGCTAGAATTTCATACCGCGTGTAATATCCACGTCGAGATCGTTTAGCTTCGGCGTAAAAGGCTCCCTAACTTATTAAACGTCACTTGTCAAAAGTTTTCGGACAGGTATCTTTTTTTATGTTAATATTCTTTTAACGTCAACGTGAATAATTCACCATGTTTTTAAACGAAACTTTATTTCTTTGAATAACCGTAGCCAAGCGGGGAATTACGTTTAAGTTTACTTTTTTTTGTAGCGTCTCTCATAAAAAACCACGATCGTTTTGCATAATTTAACGTTGAGAATTCAGGCATATTTTCGACAAACGACGAAAAAAAAAAGGAAAGCAAGTTCGGGAGATACCGATAAGAAAATTTCGCGTTCGCCGAAAGTGAACATACAGGATATTCTCGTGTATGTTCGGAAAACGGAAATGATAATTTCTACGTGTCAAATGAGAAGATGGATGTGTCTTTCCATTGACAGATTGTGAGTGTTTTTAAACTGCAGGTGGGGTTCTCCGATTGTTAAGGAATACGAATCTTATTTTGTGAAATGTCAACACAGGAATTTTATGCCATAAACATTTTGGTACTTTATTATACTTTTAGTGTAAGGTTTATTGTTTTTGTACTTATAGAAATATTTCCGAAATCCACTGTCATCATCATCATAAGGTCATCAGTCCTAAGACTGGTTGGACACGTACCTTCACCCTTTCCTATCCTGAGCTAAACTTCGCATTTCCCTAAAACTAGAACAGCCCACATCCTTAACTATTTGCGAACAGTAATCTAATCTAGGTCTACCTCTACCCCTCCTAACTCCT